TTTAAATTGTCAACCTCAGCCAATAGACAGTATTTCAACCATATGGAAAAAAGTGGGCAGTCATGACTCAGGCTAAGTGACTCTGCTTTTCTGAATGGAAAAAACATTCCACGTTTTGATCTTGGCCAAGAATGTTACTGAATGCAACTCTGAGGTCTGTAAATAAACTTTTTTTGTGTGTGGTAATGCAATGTTTCCTATTGCATCAGTATATGCTTTGTCAAAGAGACAAATGTCAAACTCTCGGCTGATCAATATAAAGCTATTTTCCAACTTGTTTTTCAGGATCTTTTAAGTTTCACTTTGTATGATTTCACAACCTTACTATTCAAATAATATTTTAAAATTTCAACACATTAAATCTTTGTACAAAATCCAAATGAAGTATATTCTTATATAAAAACTTAAATTCCTACATAGTCAAAAATGGTTTATTGTTGCTTTCTATAACCCTTAGATACATCTTAGCTGTGTTTTATTATCAGAGGGGCCCTGGTACTTCTTAACCACAAATGAAGTTAAAACAGTTAACCTGTTTACCCCACTAACCCCCCCATCACCACATAGTAGCAGAGAAGTGTCTTCCAACTTCATGAACTGAGGAAAGAGGGAGGTATGTTTTGATAACAAGGACAGAAGTCTAACACCAGACTAGGTCAGTGCTAAAGAGATCAGCCTGATTAGGTGCTGCAGTGACAGGCTCTGAGCAAACCAGCAGAAACAGAAAGACAGTCAGAAGAGATGACAAGAAAGGTTGGATCTGATATGAGGAATGAGGTCTACTAAACATTACCTTTGCCTCCAGCAGCCCACGTGTTACATGTGTAAGGGAAATCCTAGTGGGCGCCAATCAGACTAGATCAGCCTGACAGCTGGAGATGGTGATATTCCTCCTCAAAGCGTCTATTTGCATCCACTGATGTATGCAGAACTTTGGGGGCCTTACAGGAAAAATACTTGAACCTTGTTGTATTAGTCTGTTCCCACACTGCTATAAAGAACTACCTGAGCTGGGTAATTTATGAAGGAAAGAGGTTAAATTGACTCACAGTTCCTCAGGCTGTACAGACAGCATAAAGCATGGCTGGGAGGCCTCAAAAAACTTACAATTATGGCAGAAGAGTGAAGAGGAAGCAAGCATGTTGTCATCTGGTGGCAGAGGAGAGGGAGGAGGGGGGAAGAGAGAGAGACAGAGAGCAAAGAGGGAAGTGCCACACATGCTTAAACCAACAGATCTCATGAGAGCTCACTCACTATCACAAGAACAAGGGGGAAATCTGCCCCCATGATCCATTCACCTCCCACCAGGTCTCTCTTCCAACATGGTGAATTAAAATTCGACATGACATTTGGTTGGAGACATACAGCCAAACCATATCACTTGTCCATTTCAAGAAAATACAGATACATTTACTCCCCAAATATTTATTTAATTCTTCCTGCTGTGACACTATACAAGGTGCTAGGAAGACTAAGAAGACAAGGCCCTGCCCTCAAGGAACTTACAATCTTAGTGGAAGAGACAGCAATAAATAGAATAACAAATACATAAGATAATTAATAATTGTGATAACTACAATGAAGGGAAAAAACAAGGGTGAGGCCCACTTCAGACAGGGTATTCAAGGATTGCCTTAGAAGAGGGTAACATCTGAGCTTAATCTTCAAGGATGAGAAAGGGCCAGTCAGTCTCTCCTAGAAGGGCAAGCATTCCAGAGGTGAGAGAACAGAAGGCAGAGTAGCTGGAGCTGGTGAAGTGGGTTTGTGGAGCTGGCAGAGCTAAGTCTTTCAGGGCCTCACAGACCATGGTGAGGGGGGGATCAGAAGATACTGAAAAGTTTTAATCAGGAGAATGACATGATATGATTTACACTTCTAAAAGATCATTCTGGCTGCTGTGAGGAGAATGCAGGTAAAAGTGGAAGTAGATTAGTTAGGAAGCCACAGTGATAGTCCAAATAAGTGATGATGATGGCTCAGACCAAGAAAGTGGTTCTCAAAGTGGGGTCCCTGGACCAGCAGTAGCAGCATCCAGCAACTTATTAGAAACGCAAATTCTCAGGGCCTACCCTAGACCCACTGAATCAGAAACTCTGAGAGAGACCAGGCACAATGGCTGGCACCTGTAATCCCAAAACTTTAGGAGGCCAAGACAGGAGGATCACTTGAGCCCAAGAGTTCAAGACCAGCCTGGGCAACATAGTGAGACCCCATCTAGACAAAAATAATAAGTGTGGTGGTTCACACCTGTAGTACCTGCTATTCAGAAGGCTGAGACAGGAGGATTGCTTTAGTCTGGGAGGTCAAGGTGGCAGTGATCCATGATCTTGCAAATGCACTCCAGCCTTATTTTTAGAGACACAGCCAGATCTTGCCTCTAAAAAGAAGTTTTAAAAAAGAAACTCTGAGGATGAGGGCCAGAGATAGGTATATTAACAACTCCTCCAATTGATTCTCATGCACCCTAAAGTTTGAGAGCCTCTGGACTAGGGGTATGGAAATAGAGAAGGGCAGAAGTGAACTGTGGTGGAAGTAGATGTTGATGGTTGAACTTGGTAATGTGTTGAATATGAAGGATGAGCTCACTATCAAAGCCAGAGCTAAAGACTCCAGCTTAACCAGCTATGAGAGCAAGAGGCTAACTCAGAGTAACAGTGCAGACATATGAGCCCCTGTCTTGGGACTCTTTGAAAGATGAGGAAGAAGCATGATGGAAGTTTGCCTTCACTATCCAGCATCTGACCCTTCTTCTTAATTCAGAATATCACCTAGAGTGTGGGTCCTAGTGGGAGACACAGCCCCATCTGTCCCTCTGTAAAAGTTAACAGGGGGCTGAGTTAAACAATAAAAGAATTAAAATGTCCCCCTTTTATTTATTTATTTTCTTTTAGAGACAGGGTCTTGCTCTGTTGCCCAGTCTTGAGTGCAGTGGTGCTATCAAAGCTCACTGCACCCTCAAACTCCTGGGCCCAAGCAATCCTCTCCCACCTCAGCCTTGCGAGTAGCTAGGTCTACAGGTGCACACTGCTGCACTTGGCTACTTTTTTAAACGACATTGCCCAAGTTGGTCTTGAACTCCTGGGCTCAAGGGATCCTCCTTCTTCAGTCTCCCAAAGTGCTGGGATTACAGGCATGAGCCAGAACACCCAACCTTGATTTCCCTCCTATAACTCACTATAATCCAGGGCTTGTGAAGATGACCTAGACTCAGTCAATCAGATGCCCACATAAGACTTTGGCTCTGGAAGGAGTTTATTCAGGGCTATGACAGTGGAGTCAAGGGTTCATTGGGAAGGATGGATGACATGAACTTGGCTGTTATTTTCCCAGCCAGTTTTCCCACACTCCCCATCCATGTATGAGCAATCAGATATGCTTCTGATAGACTCCTTTTCTGCCCAATTTACTAGATTTTTCATCCAAGCTCTCTGGTCAAAAGAAGAACTCTATGAGACCATGTGTACATGGGAGCTCAGAGTTCTTAATATATGGATGCTAATTTTTATGTGGTGGTATTTGCACCCACAGGCTGCAGCAGCCAGAGACCTTTGGATTGCAGGTAGCTAAAGACAACAACTTCTGGCAGTTGCTTCCCTGGACTTGTGTCTCTTTGAGTACACAGTCAACAGCCAACTGAGACTTTAAATAACAGAGATTTCCTTTTCTTTCTAAAGCCTTTTGACCTTATCTCCTCATCTTCGAGCCTATTGCCCATCATACTGGTCACATTGTAATGGTCTCCGCATAATCTCTGGCCTCCTCCACTACAGAAGGTGATCCTAGAGCTCAGCCCTGACCATGCCATGCCCTTAGCAAGCATCATTCACACAATGTTCAGAATAAAATCCAAACTATTTAGTTTGGTATTCAAAATATCATTTCTACCTATTTTCCCTAACATATCTTTCTGTACTTTCCAACACACACCTCATGCTTAAAATAGTTTGGTCTATTCACTGTGCCCTGGGCATGTGTCATGTATTCCCATTCTCCTCTCCTCCTCTCTTTGTCTCCAAATCCTTCCCACCCCTCAAGACCCATTTCCATCCCTACCTCTCTTGGGCAACACTTCTTGAGCTTAGCCACTATGATCTCTCCTCCTCTAAATGTTTAAAACCTATAATGCCCATGCCAGTCATCTGATGCTCAGCAGGAACTGCCTGATATGTTTTCCTTTTCTTGGGCTTGTGCCTTATTGCATCAACCAGATGATAAACCCATTTAGAGCAGATGCCACACTCTGCACAACGACTCCCTGCTATGATTACCCAACTTCTTCTATATCCTAGACTAGCTCATGGAACATGATTCAGAACAGAATGGAAACATGGATCAGCAAGGATGTAATAAACAAATCTCCTTGCCTGCCCCATCCATGGCCCCTTCTAGAGAATCTAGTCTGCCAGGTTACCTGGAAAGAGCATCACTCCCTGCCCCATAACCACCCTCCCCATCTCCCCAACCATGGCTGAGTGTACCAGGGTTAGACATCTAACCCCAAAGCAGCTGCTCCACTGTGAAGCAACACATGACCTGGACTGATCGGTCTTCTCCTTATGACAATTTGCCCAAGAGACACAGAGACTGTCATCAATTGGCAGTGACTACTGGAGCTTAGAAATCATGAGACTAAGGTGGACTGGGAGCTGTGTGGGAGGAAGTGAGCAAGATGAGTATGCAGAGGAAGCAGGTTTAGGAGAAAGGACAATGATGAAGATTTTCAGAGACAGAGATCTCTGCAGCTCCTGAAGATAAAGAGAACGGCTTAGCTCCTGGTGGCTTTCTGGTTCTCAGGCCCAATCTTTCACAGGGACTGATTGCATTTCCTGTCCATGAGATTTCCCTTTAACATTTCAGGAAATTGGAGGTAGCTTGAATAGCTTTCTGCTTCTTCTCATCCCTCCCGCCTTTTTTTTTTTTTTCCATCAAAGGAACCGTGACTAGAAAGAGGCACCACAGGCTGATAATAATTCTCACCCTCCTTTCTTTATACTCTTCCCAGGGTCCTGCCCCTTCCCTTCTCCTAGGGCTGTCACAGCAAAATGTGACTACTAAATTCCTAATGTGGAGAACCAAGAATCAATTGCTGTAATGCTGTCAAAAATGACATTCAAGTTTGAGTGACAATGATGTCTCTGGTCCTGTCCCTATCCACTTATCTATTTTTAGTTCTGTTCCTACTCTCTGAAATTACAATGCCTGGTGCTTAAGCAATTGCCAGGAGTTATTTAACAAGTACCTTACCCTTCTTTGAAGATGATGCTTTGATCCTGAGCTTACATCCTTTTCTAAGTGACAGAGATTTTGGAATGTGCCATTTCACAAAACACCAAGTCTCTTCTGTTGTTTTCTTTGAATGAGGGGCTTGAGTCCGTTGGCTGGTAACAGAAATTGGAGCTTGTCAGAAGAAATTTTCTATAACCCACTGTCTTCAGCAAGTTACTCTCCATATATTAAATAGGGCTAACACGGCCAGGTTTTCTCAAGGATGCTGTGAAATAAATCAATATAATGGGTTGAAAGTGCTTTGTAAACTAATTCCATATAGTACTATTATTCTTATTGTCAATGCCCATCTATCTTCAGATGTATTATTCCAGGTGTAAAGGTCATACACAGACCTTTGAATAGCTCAAAGCAGAGCTATTCAATGTTCAGAGCTGTGTGAGGATGCAGAGGCTACATTAGACCTTCAAATAAATGATGGCTATTTGATGCACACTCAAGCATGTATATGTATATACTTCACGTTTGAATGTTTTACATTAAGCACAAATTATATCTTCCATCAGAAAAAAAATGTCAAATTTTAAAACCCTATGTACAATTTAGGGATCAATTAAGGCTAGGGAGCTTGAGGAAGGAAGGGATTGGGGAAAGAGTTTAAGCAAGTAAAAAATGTATTACCATTACCTGAAGAATTTATGAAAGTTCATGTGAATCTTACCCAAAGTGTATCTCCATCCTTCAGCATTCAGAACATATTGTCAGGAGTTACAGATCAGGTCCTCCAGAAACAGATTGGAAGTTTATTTGGGAGGGTCCCTGGGAATCACACCTATGGGAGAGTAGAGGAAACAGGATTGGACAGGAGGAGAAGCTGGACTACATTCAGGCATCACAAAAGCCTCAACTGACCCCCATGGGATGCTCTGAAGCTGAGATGACCCTGCAGAGTTGTTCCAAGCCAAATTAAGAGGTAGGGTCTTTATGTTCTCATATGTCAGTCATCGAGTGCAGGCTACCCCCAAAAAGGGGCCCAATGCCTTTCTTCAGTCAAGGGCAATTACCAGGAGGGATTACTCCAGTGCGAGCTGCCAGCCATCACTCCCAGCTGAGGGAACGAGCACCTCCATCCTGAAGCAGGGGCTATGAGGAGCTGGGCCACATTCAGCATCGACCACACCAGGTCAGAGCTACCATTGTGGGGTTTTGTGTATCAATGAAATAAGAAACTCCACGAAGAAAATATGCTCTTCACAATAATATTCTTGTCATTCCACTGGCACACTGTCAGGGACAGGAGCATACCCCAAACTAACTGGTATCTGAGTTTCAGTAGAACCTGTGGCCAGAGCAAGAAACCCCCACACAATTCCCTGCACCGATACTCCAAGCCCAACAACAAACACACATACTATCGGCTCCTTAAACCATGAACTTACATCCTTTGTCAGTTTCTTAATTCCGAGAGTGAGGGCTCAGCTTTAAACAAGCTGAAAGGATTATTCTTGTTTCTCAAGCTTGCCATCTCCTTGGGCACATACAACTGAAATATTATTATTTCAAAAAGGCTCATGGCTATTGAACTGAAAATAAAGACGTATTATCAGAAACAATGTGAAGAATTAAAAGATCAAAAATAACATCTAGAATAATTGCTGTCCCCCCATTAAATGATAAGATATGCTAAAATTTATCTATACACAGTTTTGCAGGATTAAAATCCTTCTAGGTTTTCTTTAAAGTTTTATAAATACTCATTCCTTGTAAGACTTGTATAAAACTTACTGAAATATGTTACAAAACAATCATGTCTTATTTTAATCAAAACTGCATTTTTCTTGTAAGATTTAAGGAAGGGAATCTTTTTTCACTCAATGAAATCTTAAAGTGGCATCTCTAGTTGTCTGTTTGTCCCTTCTTGCTAATTACCTTAGCTCAGAAATTTATCAGTGCAAGAACATGTATTAGCTTCCTGGTTAATTCAAAGTTCACAAGTGTATGCTGTGATTTTTATCACACCTATCTATAATGCTCAATGTGTCCAGGTTATTATATCCCAAGAGGATCACCATTTAAGCTTTTCCTGAGTGCTCAATTCTTCTTTGTCCATTTGCTAGGATTTTCATCTTCAGCCAAGAGAAAATAATGTACATTGTCTTACATTAATGGTTTGGCAGATTACCCTTACCTGAAGATTTATGAAAGTTCATATGAATCTTACTCCAAAGTGTATCTCCATCCCTGCTCCCTCCCACCTTTTCTCTTTTTGATACTCTTCAGATGTTTAAAAATGACTTTAACAAGACCTTTGGGTGCCCCTGGTCCATTCCAAGTTATCATTGCCATACTGTTGATATACCTAATTGATAGAACAGTAACCATTCATTTTATGTCTGAGTATGAAACCAGTCCCTATATTCACTCAATGGTATAGACAGATTCTCACCAGCATGTAAGGCTATAGAAATTACTCGCTAATAGCATGGATTCTTGAGCTAGATTTTCCAACTTCAAATCCTACCTATGCCACTTAGCTATGGAAAAATCACCACCTCTGTGTCTCAGCTTCCCCATCTATAAAATGGGAATATCTAGTCATAGGGCTATTGTTAGAAACAATCAATTTAAAAGCAGTGCCTGATATATTTTTAAAACAGCAAGTACTATTATTGCTATGCTAGTTTTTAGAATTAGTTCTGTTAAAAGCAGTACCTGACACATAAATGCTATATACATACTAGTACAATTATTGGTATGCTATTTTTACAAAAAAAAAAAACCCACAAATTTAAAATTGTTATCACCTACACAGCTAAATTATGGCATTTTTTAAATGACCTCACAAAATCTATCGTGAGGCTTTATCATTCTTTTCTGTTATAAAGAAGATCATATTCTATGCCACACTCAAGGTACCAAAAAGATGATATCCAAGCTAATGGAAATATGCCTTCATTTACTCCAAACCATCAGAGCGCTCTCTCTGAGCATGGCCTTGGGCTAGGTGCCAGTGCTCCAGATATGATTAAGCCACGGGTTATGTCCTCAGAGCAATTATCATCACAGCTCCTCCCGGAGGTCCACTAAAACTAGCCCTTTGTGAAGGTGAATCGTGGACTTCCCAGCACATTTTCTTATCTCACATTTATTCTCAAGCAATCTTTGTTAGCAAACGCTTTCATACCCTGGGTGTGAAGCTTTCTTTCAGGTAATTGAAAGCTTAAAAGAGATACATATTGCATAGTAGAGAATGAGAACAGATTCCAATGAAAAGATTTAGCAGAAGCTATGGTATTTTTCTACAAAATCATTGTGATATCCCTACCAATATCTATTTCTAGGCAAGAACCTTTTCAAGATCCCACTTTCTACATATCTGCAATTTAAAAGAACTGGTATAGCTAATAGCTCCCTTTCCCTGTAATTCCTTGGATAATATAATTTTGCTCATGAAATTTCTTGTTTAGTTTCATGGCTTACTGGTGTTGCCAATAGTATTTATTGAGTTTATCTATCACTACTTAGGTCATGTGTACTAACTGAAGGCTTGTTGTGTGATAAACATCATACTATCTATACACAGGAAATTTTAAAATACCTAAAAGGATGTTGACTAAATTTTTAATTCAAAAATATTAATCAGGGAAAACTTCAGGAATGTAAATTTCGAGCCAGAAAAAGTTACATATATAGATTGGTGACATCGGAAAAGAGGGTTCTTGTATCCAACTGGGCACAGAAGAAGGAATTAAGAATTAGAAAACTGGAGAACTGACCGGGTGCGGTGACTCATGCTTGTAACCCCAGCACTTTGGGAGGCCGAGGCAGGTGGATCACAAGGTCAGGAGATCGAGACCATCCTGGCTAACACAGTGAAACCCTGTCTCTACTAAAAATACAAGAAATTAGCCAGGCGTGGTGACGGGTGCCGGTAGTCCCAGCTACTCGGGAGGCCGAGGCAGGAGAATGGCGTGAACCTGGGAGGCAGAGCTTGCAGTGAGCCGAGATCACGCCACTGCACTCTAGCCTGGGCGACAGAACAAGACTGTCTCAAAAAAAAAAAAAAAAAAGAAAGAAAAAATGGAGAATCTTCCTATAGTAACACCTCTCTCTCTCTCTTTCTTTCTCTCTCTCTCTCTCTCTCACACACACACACACACACACACACCCCGCCCTTCCAAACCTCATGTTTGTATGAGAGCATAAACAAACCAGTTAATGAACTTTTTGTTGTTGTTGTTGCTGTTGTTTTTTTGTTTTGAGACAGAGTCTCACTCTCTCATCCAAGATGGAGTGCAATGGCACAATCTCAGCTCACTGCAATCTTCACCTCCCAGGTTCAAGCGATTCTCCTGCCTCAGCCTCCTGAGTAGCTGGGATTACAGGCATGCACCACCACACTCAGCTAATTTTTGTGTTTTTAGTAGAGATGGGGTTTCACCATGTTGACCAGGCTGGTCTCAAACTCCTGACCTCAGGCAATCCACCCACCTCGGTTTCCCAAAGTGCTGGGATTACAGGTATGAGCCACCGTTCATGGCCCAGTCAATGAACTTGACATATGTTGTGGAGTATCTGCCACATGGCTGGACAAGAACCACAGATTATGTGGTCCCGGATGAGGCATGACATTTTAAAGTTCCCCAGATCACTGGAATTCTACATCAGGAATCCCTGTGAACCCCAGGGGAGCTCTCAACCATCAGAGGAAAGCTTCAGATCCTACAAGATCTCTATCATTGGACACTGAGTAGTAAATGTAATTCCCTAAACTGTTGCTTGGAGAATGTTTCCCATCAATACAAGAAGTATTTCAGGGCCACCCAACCCAGAAATCTGTCTCCAAGTAGCTCCTAAAGGGCTTTAAAACTTTCCTCTGATGGCCACAGTATGGGAAAGAATGGACGCGAGAGAAACCACACACTAAGAAGGCTCAGGTTAGAAATTCAGAGAGCTAAAACATCTTGTTCCTGTGCCCACCACTAGCAAGCAAAGATCAAGAACTCTCTGGCAGTAATGAGGAGGCACAAAGAAGCAAATGTCTACACAGAAAGACAAGCTGAGGACAAGAACAACACAAACACACCCAAGTATCAGACAGGACTAGTTCTCTTTCTGTGGGTCTGACTATGACTGAGGCTTCCAGTAGCTCCTGCAAGAGAAGAGACTGTGGCCTGACATCAAAATCCATGCCTTTTTTGCAATCTTAGGATGGAGAGCAAGTTTAAGCATTTTAAACAAATTATTTGGTCTTCATAAAGGTCCTAGGTTAAAGAACCGTTTTAGGTTATCACTATCTGCACATACCTAGACCCAATGGACACTAGCTTTTGAATTAAGTTTCCAGTGCTTGGTGCAAAGCAAACATAATGGGCATGTCCCCACTCCCTCTACTCTTAAAAAATTGTCCTGAGAGAATTACCTGTGTTTCTTTGTGGCATACAACACAGAGCAGCTACCTGGAGATGAATCTTGTGTCTATATCAGGCTGCTCTGGGGCAGACTTTCAGGAATATTCTAAGCACCTGAACCTTCTCTAATCCTGAACTGTTCCTTCAGGGCTGCTCCAGTCAATCTGGTATGAGAAGAAGGAGAAATATACTCATGTTGGTGTTTCCCCAGCTTTCCTAACTTGAACTTGATTCTACATTTATTTATTCATTTATTTGTTTGTTTAACAAGCTCTTATATCATGCTCACTATGTTCCAGGCACTGTTCTAAGCATTTTATAGAATTGACCTATTTAATCTCAATACCACATCAACTATGTACCTTCCTTTACACACACACATCACATATGCACACACATGCAAAACCTCCCTTGCCCCTCATGTGTGTCTACTTTTTGTCTATGCTTTTCATATGATCATGTGTTATGCCCTTATTTATGTGTTTGCATCATCCCAACCTGAATTATAGGCAATAACTCGATGCTGACATCAATCCGAATGCTGTGATTTCCAGGAACTTCTACATTTGTTTCCTCTCTGGCAAACTGTTGACGAGGTGTCCCACTTGCTGTTGGTGTTGTTTCCTCTCAGGAACATGTCCCTCAGGCTTCCTGAGAATCAAATAGCTTGCTTCCTTTGTTAGTCAGGCTTCTCCAGAGAAATAGAACCAATAGGATATTGTGTTCATCTGTTCTGCATAAAGGAATAAGGGAATACTTGAGGCTGGATAAAGAAACGAGGTTTATTTTGGCTCATGGTTCTGCAGGCTGTACAATCATGGCACCGGCATCTGCTCAGCTTCTGGTGAGGCTTCAGGAAGCTTTTAGTTACGATGGAAAGGAAGAGGAGCTGACATGTCACTTGGCAAGAGAGGCAGCAAGAGAGAGGAGGAGGTGCATGGCTGGATGAGCTTTAAATACCCAGCTTTCACCTGAACTAACAGAGCAGGAATTCGCTCATTACTGTGCAGAGGGCACCAAGCCATTCATGAGAAATGCTCCCCCATGACCCATATACCTCCCATCAGGCCCCATCTCCAACACTGGGATCACATTTCAACATGAGATTTCAAGAGGACAAATATCCAAACTATATCTGATATCTATTAGAG